GTAGATTCAGCTGTAGTTGAAGTTGTAGATTCAGCTGTAGTTGAAGTTGTAGATTCAGTTGTAGATGTAATATTAGTTGTAGACTGAATTGTAAAAAAAGCTGTAGTTGCAATTGTAGGTATACTAGTCTCCGTAGTGAAGGCAATTGTTGAAGATTCAGTTGAAGAAAAACCTTTTATAATAAAAAAAAAATTTAAAATAATACACTTATCATTAATTTTTCTATCAGATAATTGAGTAGATGCTATGAATATATTTGAACTAAAGTATCGAAAGACTTTTCTGAATGTTTGATTCGATTTTTCGTCATTGTTTTTTTCTTATTAAATATATCAGTGTCAAATGAAAACTATTGTTTACTTGTAGTAAAAGTGTATAAAGACGTATCGACTTGCGATATTGATGAAAGATTATCACTGATACTTGATATGGAAATTGGAATATTAGTAATCGTTGAAAAACCTTTACAAATCAAAACGATTATTAATAATCAATCGAATCCATGTTGCTTTGTTACCGTTAGAAATAGATGACAAACTTAAATTTATTGTTGATTCTATCATAGTACTTGGGTGAAATGAGCTTAAATAACCTATAAAAATCTTTTCATTTAATTTGAAGATTCTCTCTTAATCTTACTTGTTTCTATTGGTACTAATGTAACACTTTCTGTTGAGTAAGGTGTTAATTCAGCTAGAATATTGATTTTGATGTTTTCGTAAAAAACAAATATAAACTTTCAAATAATCTTACTTGTCATCCCGCTACCATCAAATCGCATATCTCGTTTTAATATTAGTTCATCCTTGATATCAAATAATATATTTGTATCATTTTCATTTTGAAATTCTACATTTGATTGTACTATAATATTATTATAAATCATAATTAATAAATAGATAAATGTAAATTTTTCTCTATTAAAACTGTTCATTATGCTAAAATAAAATTATCGATTATACTCTAAAGAAAAAAAATTGATATGTAAATTAAAAAAAGGATCTCACAATAACTAAAGTGTAAATTGTAATTTAATATATTCGTTCAGACGCCATAGTCGATAATAAAAAACAATAGATTTTTAATTTTCTCGCCGTATCTCAGACGTTTCATATACTAAATTATCTTTATACATACAACAAAAAAAAAGAATGTTGTTTTATTAAATAACGAAATCAAAACGTAAGCTTTGACAGACACAAAAATCCTAAGTAAAATATTTCAACTTTAAATATAATATATTTATATGTAGAAAACGAAATATTTGATTCTTTCACAGACGATAACTCTTAAAAGAATCAAATAAATAAAATATTGTTTTGTATGATATAAGAAACGAAAAAATAGAAATTTTTCTTTTCATCATTTACACATACGAACACATGTTGTTTTCAGAATGTTTTATTTTTTTTTAAATAAATGATGTTTTGTTGCAAAGATCGACATATTTGCTTTTTGTGTCTATTAATATCTTCTAGAAAACTTCTATAGTTTATTATTGTTATTATTAAGAAAACATTTACCAAGGTCATTTAAGATGTTGATTAACATTATTAACTCTCACACTTAAATAACAATAGCAAATATTTTTTGAAAGGAATAATTTATGTTGAATTTATCAAAATAGTTACTGTAATCGAAGGTCAGACTAAATTTATACGTGTCAATTACAAGGACTCTTATCTTAGGAATTGATATATTGCCTTTCTTTTTAAACATATATTTTAAATGTTTGAAGTAATTTGATTCTTTTTCAAAACAAAATATATATTTTCAACTCTATTTTACTCTTCTTAAAAACTTAAATCAACTATTAAATATCAAAAAAGAAAATAAATATTTAAGAAATATTAATTACAAAAAAAAATAGATGTATTAAATAGATCATTGTCATTAACATAAAAAATCTTTCATATGCATAATATATCGTAATCATTAAGCTAAGGTCAAGTAACAGTTCATAATTTACATTACTCATTGAATAATTATGGTACAGATTTTTTTCACTTCCGTAATAAACTCAAGGAGAAGAGAGACAGCAAGCAATGAAATCGACCTCCTCTCGAAATTACATAGGACAGTCAAAAAGTAATGAGAATGGTACTGTAATTCCTTATGAAAAGTTTTAAGAAACTTTTTCTCTATATAGTCTGATAGAGAAAAGAATGTTCTATTTTTCTATGGTATTTGATCATACTTCAACTAATATTATAATAATAAAATTTCGATCAGACCTATGTTTCTACGATATGGGTCGGATATACGAATGTCTATCTTAGTGGATAGTTTCTGAATAACTTTTGATAGAAGCTAGCTAGAGAGTTGTGGTGTTCGTCGTTTGAAAGAGGAGATCAAGATGTATCGAATCGTATTTTATACATTTTCCTAGTATGTTGTCTGAAGTTTGTTTAGTCAATTTTCTAAGTGTGGAAAAATGATTTCTTACCAAAAAAGAAACACCAAAAAAGCGGTTTTTACAGAAGTTGCTAGAAAAATAAACTTAGAGGTTCGAGTAGAATACCTATAACTCGTGAATGATTAATTCTAAACATCTGAACTTTTGTGCAGTTTTGTAGACCTTTCATTGACGGTTTATATACACACCTGACAATTAAGAAGTCACTGTAAACATCTCACTGGGTAGATTTGTGTTCAAAAAGGTCTATGAAAACGTTAAGAAAGTCATATCAAAAAATCTCTAATTTACGATTTGATGCATCTTCATCTCCTCTTTCAAATGATAAAAATCGCAGCTCTCTAGCTAGCTTCTATCAAAAGTTATTCAAAAACTATCCACTAAGATAGACATTCGTATATCCGACCCATCTCGTAGAAACATAGGTCTCATCGAAATTTTATTATTATAATATTAGTTGAAGTATGATAAAATAGCATAGAAATATAGAGCATGCTTCTCTCTATCAGATTATATACGGAAAAAGTTTCTTAAAACTTTTTATAAGGAATTATGGTACAACTCTCATTACTTATTTACTGTCCTATGTAGATAAGTATATGGTGCTCATATAAGTATAAAAAATGAATAAATATGTAAAATAAAGTCCTGTATTAAATTTTATCATTATTTGATTACCTAAAAAAAGTAGTTGATTTAGGTTAATATGAGTATTTAACTGAAAAGATTTTTGTCTTTGATGAAATGAATTTCAAGTGATCAGTTGATATTTTATCGATATCACAAAAGAGATAAAAGCGAATATTTATGGTATTATATTTCTCTTCTATTATCAACAACAAAACTTGTTCGTTTTTTATTCCCTTTCAAATTTTCATTTAGGAAAAGTTAAGGAGTTCAAAAGATGCTAAATTGATTTCATTTCTTAGTTGATAAATTTATCAGTATCTTGAATATTTCACATTAAAAATATATTTAGTCAAACATCGGTTCTAGATATGTATTTCATAGAAGATGTTTTGAGGAAATCATTTGACTTTGATCGCTGCACTTTTTTTTGTTTTGCATGAAACTAAGGTTCATCTTTTCATAAGTATTGACATTGAAATTAACCTGTTCTCGTTTTTTTTTACTTTCTACTACAGCATTACGAGATATTCCATCAACTTCAGTTATCAAATTTTATTTTTTAAGGGTACTTCTTAACCGATAAAAAGAAAAAGATAAGGTGATTTTTTTTCTTCCCTTTCATCAATTTAATCTAACATTTATAGTACTATGTAAGTGAATGAATTTTATTCAAAATGATAATATTAAAAAGAAAATTTTTGTTTTAAAATTTAATTTTAAAAATTTAAATTTAATATTATTATATTGATCGTTTGATTGTGTTATGCAGAACAAAAAAAAAACAAAATTTTCAAATTTTTCAAAAAACTCATCATCAATATGCAAAAATCAAATGTATTCTACAGATTAGCTTTGATCTCAAAGTAATTCTTCATAATTTTTTTTCTAGACTAGACTTCTTTAATAAGTCCTTACTACTACAAAAAAAACGACGGTTTTATCTGGAAATAGTATGCAGACCATGTTTGAATAACAGATTTTTATTATCATCTATTGATAGAAAACTTCGTTTAACTGATTTGTTTTCTTGTCATTTGTACTTTAGAAATTGCTCGAATTTATAATAAACAGTCTATGCGTTTCGAATATGTGACTAATTAGATTTTTCATCAGGATTTTTATTATATTTATTTCTGAATATCAGATGTATAGTCATTTCTTAACGTTATATCCTACGAGATTAAAAATAATCCTGGAACTCAACAACCCATCTAAAAAAGTTCAATGATAGTGTTGAATGAAAGTCAGTAAATAGAATATAAAAACCGTTAAAAAAGATGAGAAAATTATATTATTCTTTGTTTATTAAAACTGTAAAATAAGAATTGAAAATTTAATTGTCACGTGAGGTATTTCATTTTGTCTGACATATAATTCTTTTTATATTGCAGGAGTTTGAGATGAAATTTTCATCATTTTATCCATTCATTATGGTCAACTACCACGAAAAATGTCACCGTCAGAAAACTTATAGTTCATGCGAAAAAGAAAAAATTAGTTTCAACGAGTCACGTGAGACGTCTATACACAGTACTTTTTCTGATAATGTGTATACAAAATATGTATAAATTAACAAAGAACCATTTACCATAGTTCTTTGGTGTAAATAACGTCACGTCATGAACATATAGCATAAAAGAATAAGCGTGAGTTTCGGAGAATGAGTATTCATCATGTTACACCAAATTCACTCAAAATCGTTAAATTAACCGTATGGGATAAACAGAAATGGATCAGATGAATATCCTAATAGGTATTTTTACAATCTCGATACCCGAGTTGTAGATGCTATAACACCTATCTTTCGTCAATTGTCATAATCATAAATTCAAACTGTGGAATTTATTGATACTTCTGTATTAAAAACTAGAGTGAATATATAGGAAACGATATGTCTAACGAGAAAATACACTGGCGAGGGTATCATTCGAACTGATATCTGCCATCTAAGTTTATATTGAGACTACAACGGTACATGGATGAGACTATCGAAAATCTAAATAGGTTTGTTCTTGTCGGTCTTTGAAGTTGAGTTAGGATCGTTTTACTGAATTTTTGAATCCAGCTTTAGATACATATTGAAAAATCAAAAAATTTCAGTCGAAAAGAATATCTCTTTGTTGAAATATTGAATTTTCAAGTAAACTCGATTTTTGTATCATGGTTGTGGCAAGTGATTACTTTTGGGAATTCGATATTTCGATAAGAAAAAAAAAAACATTCTTTTTGTCTAAAAATTTTAGGATATTCTACGGGTCAGTTGAGCTATGGATGGGCAAAATTTCACATCGAAAATCTGGTTTTTTTATATGTATCTTAAATGAGATCGAAAATTCAGTAGAACGATTCTAATTTGGCTACAAAAGCCTATGAGGACCAATCGTTGTAGGAATTTATAACACTAACCAAAATCTTCTTGTATGTCCAATATGACTTCAAACGGCGGACGTCTATTCAAGTGATTCCTTCTTAAAATTACTGTTAATAACTGAAACAAAAGTAGTAATTGTTGAAATGATTGTTTCTACTGAATCTACTGTCAATGCCATACATATCGAATCACTTAATTCATTAGTAGACAGAATTATTTCAATAGTATATTAAGTTCAAAAAAGAAACAAATAAATTTAACGAAAAAAAGAGTAAATGAATATTGAAAACAAGTATACATTTTAATCATAAGGATTAAAGTTAATATTATAATCGTATTTTGATTACTTTTTCCTCAGATTAAGTATTAATAATTCAAAGAAATATATATAGATTAATATACGGCAAATATTTGATTATTTCATATTTAATGTATTTTAGTGATTATATATCAATCTAAATAAAACATAGTGGTAGTCGATAGATTGGTCATTTCTATCATCGAGAATGTTGTTGCGATTGTGTCGGAAAAATTAAAATATTCTCATGCGTGATGTCTTTAGATTCATCATTGATGGTTATTGTATTATCTGTAACTGCTTACCTGCCTTTTTTAATTATTATTAGTATTGTGTCACTTAGTTTTTCATATATAATCTAGTTTAATACATCTATCTTATGATCATCATTTACAAATTTACTTACTCGAACAACAGATATCCTTCAAATAACAAATAAAGTATCATTAAATTATTATATAAAATCATTTATGTAGAAAAGATTAAAACGAATCGAAAAATGATGAATATTTCTTTCGGATGAATCGAGTAAAATATATGCAAGTAAGACATCAATCATTATTTTTCACTTCATTTCCTTGAATTATTATCAATATGAAATCTGTCGTGCTTTCTATGCTTTCTTTTCTGCGTATTGTACTTACTAAACATAGTACCTCAGAAATCTTTTTCTTTCTCTCCATGCATGATTATTACTTAAAACTATATCGATAAAACGGCAATGCATACTTACAGTAATTCTTGCAAGTGCTTTTGAATATAGCAATACAAAGAGCAAAAGCAAATCTTGTCATTTTTTGTTTTTAGGACATGCTGCAAAAAATTTCTTCGCAATATGGATTACATATCTCACTTATTAGTAGAAAAAGAAATACGAAAAATTAACGTCATATTAATCTAGTCACAAGAAATTAGATGTCGGCTTTGGAGCATTTTTGAAATCTTAATATCATAGAACAAGTATTGTTTGTTTGAACGAGTCTTTAACTTTTAGCTCACCTTGTAGATATTTATTCGTTTCCTAGAAAGTTTTTATCAGTTTAATGATCATTAAGATAAAGAATGACGAATTTCGATATTATTATATATTACCAATAGATTACTAATAAGATCAATTAGGAATTATATTTGAATGATTTTATTAGAAGAAAACTTATTTAAATGAATACTACTACTAGTAGTTAGTGTTTTAACAGTATGATGTAAAAGTATTATCTTCAACATGAGAATTCCTTATCGAGTTATCACGAAGATCATCGGATGAGCGCGACGTTTCTTTTTGTGTATTCCGATATTTAACTTCAGTATCTCTTGTTATACTACGATCTTCTTGTTCATTATCTTCTTCGAAAGATTTTTTGTGTGTGAGAGATGTTGATTTTGATTCTTTCGATTTCGTTAATTCTCTAGCAGCTACGACACGTTTTTGTTCATCCATACGTTGTGATCGAATTATTATATATAGAAGTATCATCCATAAACCTTCTAATCCATTAAATATAATAAAAAACCATCCTAAAACATTTGCAGTATCTTCATTAGCAAACGTCAAAAATGGACCAAAAAGCCAACCAATACCTTGAGTTGCACACGATAGAAGTAAAATAAGTACACATCGTTTCATTCTTTCATATGTTTGATGACGTGATGTTGCATTTAGAACATGATTTATTATACGTTGACTTACACGAATAAATATAAATATATTAATTAATAGAAATAAACCAACAGGTATTGTCAGAAAGTAATAAATAACTCGACGTGTAAACCAACAAAGTTTATATGGATATAATTGAGTAATTTGAAATGATGAATTTGAATTAAATCCAGATGCAAAAGCAACCCATGTAATCGAAATAAAAAATGAAATTACAAGCA